AGTGGGAGCCAGACTGGGCCCGTCCTGCACTCCCCACCCCCCAGCATCCTGGCCCCCGCCGCTCTACCCCAGACTCAGCACAACTATGACTGTGGGGTGCCCCCCGCCCCGAGCCAACGGGACCCCCCCAGTCCTGACCCTGGCCACAGGAGAGCCTGCCCCATCGCCGGGGCTGGGGGCTGCTGGTTTCCTTTCTGCTGCCCAAGTGGCCAGGCTCGTGCCTCCAGGCATAAGGGTGCAAGCTGACCCTTACCTGGTCCCATGAGGCCAGGACCAAGTGAGTCAAGGAAAAGCCTGCACACCTCACCTGCACTGACCAGGGGCGTGGGGCACGGAGCTGCTTTGCCAGCCCAGCCTCTCTGCCCTGTCTCCAGGCCCTCCCCAGGAGCTCACAGCCCTTCCCCTGAAGCACGTGGGGGCACGCAACTAGCACGGCTGTGCCGAGTGCTGGCTGCTGCAGCCCTGCTCATTGGCATGGCCCCTGGGCCACCAGTGGGGCAGGGAACACGAGAACACGTGCAACTCGTGACACAAGCGGGGTGCCAGAGAGAGGTTTCCGCCTCTCCCCAAGTCTGCGGCAGGCTCCTTGGTGGAGCCCGGCTAAGCGCCCAGAGAAGCTGCCAGGAGAAGGGCACCCACCTCCAGTCCTTACCACCCGGAGCGGGGCGGCCTCCGCTCCTCTGCCCGGCGGCCCCGCGGCTCCGAGCTCCTCCGCACTGCAGCCCAGAGCCGGCCTGGCAGCATGACAGCTTGCTGAGCAAGCGAGAGCCACCGCTGCGGCACTCACCCCCGGGCTGCACAGCTCTGTCTCCAAGTCCGTGGCGCTCGTGGCCACCGGGATGCTTTGCTCTTTGCCTTCCTGGCTGTTCCTGCCCTCCCTCCCCTTCCAGCTGGGCCCTTCCTTTTGTTTCCCAAGCTGCAAGCCTGGAGGGGTTGCTCTGGCTCAGGTGGAAGCAGAGCTGGCCTGTGCATCCCATACCTCCTTCCATCACGATTTGCATCCCGAGCGCATCCCCCCACACTGCCGTGGCCCCGTCCTCTGCGAGCGCCCCCCGCACGGGTGCTGTCTCAGGCCCAGACAGCCCCACAGACCAGGAGGGGACCCCAGGAGCAGGCTCTGCCCGTGCTGTGCGCTCCCGTCTTCTCGCACAGCCGTGAGCCCCGGGCCCCGGCTCTGCCCAGCGGAGGGCAGCTGGCCAGGTTGCTAGGACCAGGGAGCCGTGTCGCATGGAGCAGTGACAGCCCTGAGCTTTCATGGGAAGCATCTGTGCCATGCTCCCGTGCATCCTAGCAGCACAACCACGTGCTGGGACCTTCCCTGCTGGCTCCCCTGGTCACAGCCCCGTGTGGTGACAGGCAGCCAGACCAGTGAACACTCTCCGTGCCTTTCAGCGTCCCCACTTTCCAGGCCGTGGACACGGTGGACGTGCGGGGTTTGCCCTTCCGAGAGGTGACGCTGAGCAACGGCAGCCTCCACGTGCAGGACACGAGCAGGTGAGCGGGAAGGCGAGCACCAGATCCCCTGGGACGGCTGTAGCACATGTCCTGGGGAGTGGCCGGAGGAGCTGGCTCCTTCGGACAGGACCCGGGAGGCACTGGTACTCTCAGTCAACGTGGCCTCCGGGGACAGCCTCAGGGCACTCCAGCCCCGCGGTGCTCGCCGGCGCCCAGGCCTGGTGCAGCCAGGCAGACAGCAGGGCGCAGGGGCCCAGCTCTTGGCAGGGAGCTCAGGGGACCTTGGGACAGCAACCCCCCCGGGGCTGCAGCGGCGGGGGGGCTTGCAGCTGTGGCAGGCGCTGCACAGGCCGTACCACGGCTGGCCCAGGTCAGAGCGTTGCAGCTGCCTGTCCTGCAGAGCACGTGCAACCTCACCAGGCCCCGGCTTGCCCAATGAGGCACTCGGGCGCTGGCATACGGGCAGTGCGCAGGCTGGCATCTGCCCTGGCAGCCCAGGGCAGGGGGCACTGTGAGCAGCGCGGCTTTGACAGGACCCTTTGCTTCGCCTTCCAGGCAGTGCCTCTCGGGCTCCCGTGTTTCGCTCACGTGCTCCGGTAAGTGTGACGGCGTCGCCGGCGCTGATAGCCCGAGAGCATTTGACCAGCCCTGCACAGGCCAAGACCTTGCCAGGGCCCAGCTCCGCGGGGAGTCCCCCTGCCTGCGCAGAGGGCAGCGCTGAGCACCATCTCTTCCCCGTTTGGCTGCAGGCTGCGGCGAAAGCCTCCGGACCCCGCGCATCCTTGGGGGGCAGCGGGCCACGATCGAGGCCTGGCCGTGGCAGGTCAGCTTGCAGTACCAGAGGGAGCACATGTGCGGCGGCAGCATCATTGGCCCACGCTGGGTCCTCACCGCGGCACATTGCTTCAAGTGAGTCCGACTGCGTGCACCCCTGGGGCCATGGCACTCGTGCAGGGAGCCTCTCCCGCCCTGCGCCCAACGCCGCATCTCACTGTGTCTGCGCAGGACCAACCCGCAGACGCAGAGCTGGCATGTGCAGGCCGGCTCCGAGCTGCTCTCCGACGCCAACGCCAACGCTGCCCTAGTGGAAAAGGTCTTCGTCCCGGACGGCACCTCTGTGGTCCCCCAGGGAGACGACATCGCCCTGGTCAAGCTGCAGACGCCCTTGCACCTGTCAGGTGGACAACGACTCCCGGAGCCCTGCCTGGCCACGAGTGCCCCCAGTCCAGAGCCACCCATGTCCTCGGGCTCCCCGCCACCTGGCCACGTGCCCGTCAGCACCGGGGTGGGTGGGAGGGAGGGAGCGCGGGGTGACTTCTGCCACGGCTCTGCCTGCACCTGAGTGAAAAGAGCCCCGTGCAAATGGGATTGGTGTCAGCCGTGAGCACGCCCAGGTGTGCAGGCACGTCGACATCCCACGTGCCCTGGCTGGC